GTCTTTATTGCCGCCGAGAGGAAACATGTCTATGCGCTGTATGCAATAGATCACACTGATATGTAATATACGACAATTTTATGATAGATATATTATAAGTAAGGTTTTGCAGCACATGATTTGCTTGACAGGATTAGATGAAAGCTCCTCCCAAACTTTAGATTAGAATTTAGAATATTACGTTCAACCTCGATAGTGTTATGTATATATATATATATATATATATATTTTTTTTTTCAGATTTCTGTGATGATTAGAAGGGTCAAAAGAACAGTATTTATTTGAAATAGTTCCATTTCTTTCCAAAAAAATAAAAAACTTACCTCAAACTTGTTAAGAGTTTGAAGCAGCACTATAGGAGGAACCATTTAGAATTTAGTAAATATGTTCTGAAACAGAGGAGAAACACCTCTAATAATTTCTGACTGTGTTTATTTAACCAACAAGGTTGAATTGTGCAACTAGCATTACCAAACAGAATTTCAATTTCCTGAACACTTCCCTGTCTGCCACTGGTCGGGCAAACAGATGCAATACTGTACGATCCGTTTCAGGACAATCAACCTCCGCATTATTTTCCTATATTTGTATCTGAATAGTAGAATGGGACATGAGAATGTTATATAAATGCAGGAAATGAAACAAAACAAAACAAAAACTATGTTTACAAAGTCAGTATCAGAAAAATAAAGTGGCTGAATAGATTAGTTAGTCTATACATGGCAGACAGATCTATACATATCTTAATTGACTCTCTTCATAACTTTACTTTGCTCAGTATGTTATGATGTGAAATTTATGTATTTTTGAACACTTGTCATTTTCTCTTTGCACAAGATAATTTTATTTTTTTTTTACATTTTTTGCAACAAAACATTTACAAAACTACAAAACACTACAAAAAGACAGTACAGGCATGTGTTCACTTGCATGTTCATTTGCATAAACATGCTTTTGTATTTTTATTGCTATAACAATTAAAAATGGAACAATAGAACAATGTGATTGAAACCTTTTCTGAGGTGAAATAAAATACAAATTAAAACAAAATTCATAACGAGTACAAATGTTCCACTTCATTTTGGATTACATACACATTGTTTTTGATAGTCACTTACAGGGCAACTGGTTGTTTTAGTTTTACATGTATAACGCTTGAACCATCAAACTTTATTTGGTTTGCTTCTCTATTACAGTGTGTAAAACCATTCTTACTCTTCACTACGTTTACAACATTCTCATTTAGGAGACTGAATGACATACTGAATCTGATACACGTGAATACATGAAGAACACCGGATGAACACATAACAGCCATTAGTCCTGACAGCTCCAAATATCTAAATTCATTCTAAATCTAAACAATAAATATATCTTATTCAAATGAGGGCGCATCATATTGTTTGACATCAGCAGTTACAGTACCCTGTACTGTAGTCTGAATAATGTGCTTGTACATAAATAGTATGTATGCTTGTTTTATGATTGTTCATCATCATGATACATTCATAACTGATTGCTTACTGTATTAGAGGGATGGGCTTAAAAGGGTTGGCTTGTGCTCTTTATGTTTTAAGAGGATGTTTGTCCAAGTAAGGAAAATCTTCATTAGGTCTGCTAAAAACTGGATGGACGATAATGGCAAGAAGTGACAGCAAGCAGGACGGCCTCCTCAGGATCTTGGACAAGCGGTAAACTCAATACACTCGCCATTCTAGAGAACAGACATACAGAGAATAATGTAATGTAAGCACACTTCAAATGCAAAAAAAGAAGAACTGTTATGCAATGTTCGATGTGCAAAATGCAGATTGAAGTCACAGTATGTTATTATATGCACAATCCAGTTTTTAATTTATGAACAAACAAAAAAGGGTCAAACGTTGTCCAATCACAGCACAGCTCAGTGTAAACTACGACTGAACCTGAACAGTTAAACATCAAGTGTGCTCAATGCTATACAGCTCAACACACAATTTACCTCCTTCCTCATCCTCCTCAAATACTGGCTGCAAGAAAAAGACGAGGGATTTTTTGTTAACGGCTGTTGATTTTTGGTAACTTCACTTACACACCAATCATGCCACAAAGACTGAACACTTCATGAGCACATTCCCTTACAAGTCTTCATCACAGCGATGGATGTTTTACTTACAATACAGGGCCATTTACTCACTGAGTATCTCAAGTTAATAAAAGATGCCTTTCAAGCTATAAATTACTGTATGCCAGAACCTGTATTGTTTTTCCATGAGAGATCAACTCACAACCCTTCCATTGAGACATGCACTTCAACATCACTCTGAAGCATGCACATTTTTTAAACAGTATATACTGTGTGTGTGTGTGTGCGTGTATAGAGATATTTTTTTTCACATGAAATGAAATTACAGATGTATTTTCATTTTACTCGGAGTAAAATGACAAACGTCTCGGTTACGTATGGTAACCCTCGTTCGCGCTGCATCTGCTGCCTACTTATACTCACGCTGTGATCAGCGGCAGTTGGATGCAATAATCGCATGCCAATGTGCATTGGCTCGTTTAGTTTACACTCGAAGTAGATTCGGCACTATAAGCGAGATCCCAATTTCGTCGGTCATCCGACGTGACGTCGAGAGTGACCGACTGAAAGGGAACTGTTTTTACCTCATTACCCTCATCTGTCTGATGCTGAAAAGTGAATAGTGTCAGTAAACAGATCAATTATAAAAAAAATATAAAGCTTAGTTATTCTGTAACATCTTAAATGTTTATGTTCAGAATACTTCATATTTATCATTATACCTGATAAACACTACCTATTCAACTGATAAAAACTTTATATTTATCAGTCTGTGAAAAGGTAGGCATATACAGTATATTTCATTTGACAAAATTAATTTGGGGAGTTGACGTCCATAACTTGCTTTAGTAATGCACATGCTATATAAACAAACTAATATTTCAAACAGCATATTCCTTATGCATGCAGCTTTAATGGAATACATGCACTTCCAAAATCTCATGTCACACCACAGAACCATTTAAAATAAACCACTGATTTCAAAAATGTAAAATTATATAAAAACCTCAAATGGTTTTGAAATGGTGGTCTAAACATCAAGTAAAAGATAACATCCTTATAACTGTGTGTGTTTATTTAAATGTATTTTATTTATATATATATA